GCTCTACGACCGCAAGATGGCCTCCTCCTGCCGCCGCCTGGAGTGCTGTTCTGACGAAATATCCTGCTGCTGGATTGACCTTTGCCTTCTCTTGGAGCAGCCGTTCCACGATCGCGAGGTGGCCTCCCACTGCTGCCAGTGAGAGCGGTGTTTGACCGTCCATGTCCTCAAGGTTAACGTTAGCCTTCTCCGTCCTAAGCAGGAGCTCGACTACAGCTTTATGCCCTCTCTCCGCTGCCCACGATAGCGGCGGCCGACTCGGCCGACTGTATCGACTATTCATTAAGTCTAGATCGGCACCGTCTGCCAAGGGTAATCGTTCGGCTACCGTGTCATGTATATTTTCTTTTCCGAATACCATTTCATAGCCCTCCATTGCTTCTCGAAACTTCTCTTCTGCCCTTTTATACTCTTCTAGATCTCCCAATACAAGTGCAGAGTTCCATGAGCTGAGTACTTTGTCCAAGCAGACTTCTGACTCTTCATATTCTTCTTGACCTTGCAGTTTCCATAGTGAGTTTTCCCAGTTCCAGATGAACTGAAGATTGCGGGTACGGAGTTTTGCCAATTGTAAAAAGAATGGAAATTCAACATCTTCATTCCTCATTCTTATAGTGTGCGGAGGAGTGGCTGCAATTATGACAATTGCCCAATAATCCTTACAAACCCTAACGATTGTAGGTTTAGAGGCTCCTTGAAGATAGCAAATGACATCTCCTATCATAATAGATTTTGCTGAAGGATGGAGAGTCCAGTGGCTGCTCCACTCTCCTGTGAGTCCTGGTGCGCCCGATATGTTCCTCGAAATAACATCCACGTCCTGTCCACCATTCCAACCAATATTACTCCGTACAGAGGAAATTTTGCCAAGAATACAGCCCTTGCTCTTGATTACTGCGATCTCCTTATCGGCCCAAGTCTCGACAGATATATTTTTAGGGAGAAGATACTTGGCAAGTCGCTGGAAGAGCTTCTCCCATGGAACTCTGTAGTCAGGCAACAGGTCAACTTTGCTGAGATCATCCGAGCTCATGCCGAGCAAGGCATACACCTTATCGTGGCGTTTGGTGGCCCCATGGGCATGATACATGTCTATCAGCTCACCTAATGGACATATATCCAAAGATGACTGTCCAGAATTACCCGTCAAGTAGTCCGGCCTGAAGATTGCTTCTCTGATTAGGTAGGTTACTGAACGGATCAAACCCTGCAAGTCTTGGCGAGCTTCGTAGATATTCTTCAATGAATCAACACCCAAGCAGAAGGCATATCCGTCAATCTTCTTGAACCCACATAAAATCAGGACATGTCGGGCTGCGGCAACTTCCTGAAGTATCTAGATTAACCTTTAGTACTTCGTACAAATGTTGTCAAGTGTCTGTCCCCATACCCAGATGCGACGAAACCACGGTCGTTGAAGCAGCGCGAGGACTGCTTGCTGGATCCTTTTGCTGCCTAGAGAGTTTGTAGCCTTCTTGTGTCCAGCAACGCGTATCTCTTCAAATGCTAGGTCGCTATCGTCTGCCGCCTCTCCAAGCCAAACAACTACACGGTTTGCTTGACCATAGATCTTCGCCATGGCCTGAATCTGATTTTCCTTCTCTTCCAGATTTTCTTGGTGAATGCAAATAGCATCTACCCATAGGATTCGTTCAATAGAGTGATTCCGAAGATGTGAAAGCGCCGCGCGAAGGTTGACCGTGACATGGAAGCTATGTCCATGTATGAAGATAGGCAGCTTCTCGTATGGATCCCCCCATACATAGGATAGAGCATCGTACGGATGAGTTCCTTTGCACGAGTTCTGTAGAGAGTATTCAAAGAGCTCGCATTGTATGTCAGCCGTTTCGTCTTCGTGTGGCATTAGGCGAAGCAGGCGAATACTGTCACGCGGCGATGAAAGCGGAGAGTAATGGTACTGAGACATGACAATATCATGGTATCTAGAGACTTGAACTCGTGTGGTTTGGATAGTTATGCTGAGCGATGTGATAGGGCTGCTGTTGTTGTCACAGCGAGGTTTCCTCTGCTGTCGGTGAAGGTTGCCTAGTCGGCAAAGCAACCCCGCCCTGGTCACATGATTGTGCTAGAGCTGCATTCTGCAGAGCAAAAAGTTCTTGTACTTCGTTGGTGCTAGCAGGGAGGTGGCCGACCCGCACTGGCCACACCCTTTGCGTGAGAGGCGATATTTTTCTGGTCTCGATGAAGCAGAGTTTGGGATGGATGTTGTTGCCACATGGTAGCATGCGGTGAGCGCGTATTGCAGATGGTGATGACTGTTTCAGGACTAGCGTGGTGGCCCTCGTCATTGGTGCATCGGTAGCCACAATTGTCCTCGGCCTTGGCAGATCAGTTGCTGAGTCAACCAAAATGCCCAGCATCTAAGCCGTGATCAGTCTCGCGACAGCCATTGTGCAACTTCGCGATGCAGTGCAACATACGGCTATGTCTACGTTGCAGGCTCCCATAGCACAGAACCCTGTCATCACGCCGCCCTTGAGTTTCGCAGACCACCCTTTGACGCCGCCGCCGACCGACGAGAAACAATCCGCGCAAGTCCATCGAGTCATCGCGCTCTTCGAGAGATCCGGGCGGGAAGGCACATCAAGCGACACCCGTGGACAGAGTTTCAGCTCGCAGAAGGAGAATACGATGAGATAGAGCATCGACTTGGGCGAGGTGAGCTGTTGGGATACGTCAAAGACAAGATACGGTGGGTATGCTCCAGACACAATGTAGATGGCGGCTAACGATAGAGATGGGCAGATATGATTACGACGAAGAAAGTGATCGTCTTGTTGTTCGCATGCCTACAGCTGTACACGAACTGTTCATCACTCGCGTTGAGGATGCCATATTCAGTCAGTTGAAATCAATCAGTGACGGACTGGGTGCTGCGGCGGCTTTTGCTCAGAAGGTGTACCCGGCTCGTTCTACCGAAATATACTTTCCAGTCGATAGTGTTTCATCCGGCAGAAAGTCGAAGCACGAGCCGGATGCTTCTTTCTGGCACAACGATGCGCAATACCCCGGAGTTGTCATCGAAGTCGCTTATTCGTAGAAGAGGAAGAGGTCGGAGCGGCTCGCCGACGACTATCTTCTGGACTCGGATGCGAGCGTGCAAGTTGTTGTTGGCCTGGATATCGAATATGGGAGGAAAGGATCGCGCCAGGCGACGTTTTCGATGTGGTGAACCCATGTAGTCAGTACTACGGATGGGAATGAGTTAAGAGTGGTCCAGGAAATTGCGGATAATGTATTAACGTCCCCCCTGTGTGGCGCAACACCCCCCATGCCGCAACACATTTATTGCTTAGGCATCTTACTCTCTCCCTCGCAAACCCATCAAGTTATCGTTAGCCTACTATTATTCTTCAGACATTTCTCCCTAGGAAACTATTGTGCAGCTAAAAAATTACGACGTTCTTGATCATACTGTCGATTATTCCTTTCAGAGCATCCGGAACGGCAATAGCTTTACACCCCTGCTACACCACGACTATCTCCCAAATTTCATATTTCGGAGTATTAAACCGATAGTTCCAGGATAAAAGAAGATGCTTCTAAGCTTTGAGGCAAAAGGCCCTTAGAAAAATACATTCTGGATTTATCCGTGCGAAGGGGTCCATAGTGTGTCTTGGCATGAGGGTTTATAGCGCTTACGTAGGGAGGTATTAGATATTGTACTGTATTTTACGCTATGTTTGAAATGCGGCGCTCTTCCAGAAACATCCATGAATGGTCACGTGTTGGCTATTTTTGGTAGCCATTCCTTGTTGCCACCTGTTGCCACCTATTGCTACCTGTCTACGTACATATCCGATTAAGCACCATTAGCCTAGGCACGTGATTTGCCACGGTACAAGAAGGTACCTCTCCACCACCGCTTGAGCTGAGAAGGTCATGGCCGGTGCGTGTCGGCCACCCTCCCTGCTTGTGGTGGCGATATCGAAGCGCCACATCATTTTATTACCGTTACATGTCATTCGCAAGCATAACCACTAGCCCCTGCAGTCAGTACTCGCACTCAACCCCAAGATATCATTGCCCGTCCATAGTCACTTGTCGTATACCATTCGGCCATGTCTGGAATCACGCTGATTCAGGGCGCGCTCTATGTGTTTAAGCCGGCGTAAATCAGTCAACCCTTCTCTAAAGCTGTTGCCCAGAACTATTCGGGTTTGGAAGAACCAAACGGTCGTTAAGTTCGGCGGCGAATGCCTGTGCGCGGTAGTCTGGTTCTCGGAACGCGAAATATAGATATTGTTTCAGCCTCACAATGTCCATGTACAAGTCCCAACGATTCCAACAAGAATCGTGGCTCCCGTCATCCACCAGCTCGCTACTCCAAATGCCCCCTGGATATCTTTCTTCAGTATTCCCCACAGTATTCCGAATAACATGCTGGGAGGGAAAAATCCAATAGCGAGAACCCACCAAATCTTGGGCCAATCCCAATCTTCCTTGTAGTAGATACCCTACGCTTCTATTAATTTAAAAGGTCGAGACTGAAGTTCTCCACAAGTCCTTTTCGGAAGTTGTTGTATGACCAGCGTCGCATCTGGCCCTATCCCATCAGGATCCGTGAAGAAATCCATTATCAGCCGCGGTCCAACGGGTGGGGACAACTTAGATGGTATCGGGTAGCACTCGTATTCCATTCCTTTGGGGGGACAAGGTTAACCGGAGGTATACAGTCGCAAGGCTTTCCGTGTTCGCAAATATCATCGTGACACCGCGCATTAATATATCGATGGCCCCCATAGGCGAGCTAATTCTTGAAGTATTAGAATCGTCCCGTTGCTACTTTCTTTAATACAGGAATATTAGCATACTTTTATAAAGTGGATACTATAGACTGTCCTCAGAGACTAATATGGTCTAAATCTCCCTCTGTGGTCGTGATAGCTGCGTTGCAATATGCGGAAAAGCTGTCGATCATCCGTAATATGTGTAATAATCTCTTGATAGAGCTCAACTAAATGCCTACCCTTTTCCATGCAAGACAGAAGATGAAGTGTACAAGTAGACACTTCACCCAGTTCGGCATCTTTCCGATCGCAGTTGATTATAGTGTGCCCGATATTGGTCTCACATATTTAATTAGCAATATCGCTAGAATTAGAGCTGTGTGCCCAGGCTGAGCTGGTGTTGGAGGTATAGGAGAACCCAAAGGGAGAGAATGTGCGGTCTTAGTCACCTCCAGGAGTCGTCCTAGTTCGATATGCGGATGCATTTAAAAATTCTTGGAAAGCTTGCAGTGCACCTAGCTCATGCTCGATGTAGTTGTTATAGAGCTTTTTGCCATATCTCTGCACGGTGTTAACAAGATTGAATTGTTAAGATAATATAGGGGATATTGCGATGAAGACACTCACATTCATCCACCAAATGCGCTAATGGCCAGGTGGAATGCCTTTCTCTCCCAATCCGATTCTAGAGAGAAATGCGAGCACTTTCATGTAAATCTTCTGCGCTAGCCCTAAAAGGGGTTCAGGTTCGCGGTCAGGGGAGGCTTCAGAGTGAGTCTTAATTGGGATGCTTGGTTCGGGCAGAACAATTTGCTTGTGCGGTGGCATAACAAAATTTCGGAAATCTTTGCACAGCTTCTTAAAAGCATTGCTCCCCTCGATAAAATTTCGCCCATGAGCTACTAGTGCAGCAAGCCGTTCGTTATTTACTTCCTCTGGCTCTTCTTTATCGGAGCTCATATCCATACCCTCATGACTTGGAAAGTCTTCTGATCCGGTACGGCTAGAGACTTACTCTTGCTCTTTCTCTTAAACAGAGGCTTCTTTAGCATTTCTCGGCCGCAGTACCTCCGCTGGCTCTTTTTTCATACCATCAGGAATTGCAACTTAAGGGCTTACAAGCTTAAGTACCCTTCTGGCCACAAAACCGGCTTTCGACGAAATAAGATTTGCCAATTTGACATCAAAAAAATCCCTAGCATCCTCCTTCAGGTTTACCGAGAAAGCTTTAAGCAATCTTTTAAAGTTTCGGGTGAATTGCTTAGGACCAATGCGTTTATCTTCTATCGCCACTCTATACAGTGTTTTTAGGTCTTGGTTATCTAGAAAGACGCTAACAAGTTCATCATCTATAGCCCTCTTTATTTCGGCATAAGTACCTAGGTTGTTTCCAGTAATTGCAGTTAAGAGCATGGTTTGCAAGGAGAATACTACGGATACTGGAGGAGACACAATATCTGAAATTTCGGAGATAGAGGTGGCCTGAACGTTGTTTCCTTTTCAGTCAAGAAGAAGCGCTATTACTTCTTTTCCATTCCGCTAATTCTCTGCTGCTGCCCTGACTAGCTCTTCCGTGATCGGGACGTCGTTCCCTCTTCGATCGAGTAGAAGCGACATCACTCCTTTATTAAACCGTCTTGCGATCTCGACTACCGCTCCTTCTGTAATCCGGATCTCGTCCCTCTTTCGATCTAGTAGAAGCACCATCACTTCTTTTCCACTCCGCCTATTCCCTGCTGCTGCTTTAACTACCTCTTCCGTGATCTGGATATTCCCTCTTCTGTCAAGGAGAAGTATTATTACTTCCTTTCCGCTCTCTGTATTTCCCGCTGCGGCTTTCACCACCCCCTCTGTAATGTTGAATTCATCTCCTCGATGCTCGAGGAGACGCGCTATTATACCTATTCCGTTCTCTGTATTCCCTGCTACAGCTTTAACTACCTCCTTACTTAGCGGAAGAATTGACGCTGCCCAATAGCTGAATTTATCCCCTGATATAGTTAATAGTTAGGTAAGACAGCACTAGTATTTTATTTCGGGAGCCGATCTTACAATTGTAGCATTTATTATGACAGTCAGCTGCCCAGTGTCCAAGTTCTCCGCATGCATAGCACTTATTGGGACAGTTAACTGCGCAGTGCCCAGATTCTCTACATGCATAGCAGATGGAGATCTCCGGTGGTATCCTTCTATTGTTTGCAGCAAGTTTCCTCAATATTGCTTTGTGTAAAGCAATGTTTTGTATAGACGTTCTAAGCGAACCGACGTGAATTTGCAGAATCTCCGCGAATAACTTGCGGGCTTCCAAGTTAGAGGGTAGTCTAAGCAACTTGAGGAGATCAACAATGGATTGGTCCCAATATAGGTTATCACCTTTCTTCCGTGCCAGATCCGCAAGTATAGAGATTAGTTCGGCCTCCGTTAGAGATACGGAGACTCCTCCACGGTACATAGCGTTGTCAATCGTAGGTTGCTCGGCTACCTTGGCAGTTGGAACGAGGGACAGAATTTCCTTCGCATACGCCGCTGCCGTTCCCGCTGCGTACGGCTGCCACCTCTTGTTCTTGTGAGAGTCAGCGTAGTCGCAGATGCCGCGGATCACGAGGCACGGGAAGCCGTCCATCAGCCCTGCTGCCTCCATTTCGAAGCAGAGAATCCCGCCAAGCTCGCTGCTCTGCCTGTCCCGCGTGTATCCGTCTCGCATGACTTGGTTTCCCGATGCAATCGTCCCGTAGTGGACCACGATCTCATCGCTCTTGCGCGGCTGCCGAGCCTCTTGCCTATCGGTATAGCACAGTTCGCATGTTTGTCCTCCTCTATGATTGTATGTAGGTTCAAAGAGAACGTCGGGCCCCGCTTTGTCGCGCCGAAACTGAGGAATACGCTCGAGCTTGGAGACATGGTCGGAGAGCTTGCTTCTGCCTCGGAGCTCGTTCGCCTGCACTCTGGCCACTGCAGCAAGCAAAATTTGTGGCGGAGAATTCAGCGATGCTGTCCGCTCGAACCCGGTTGGAGTCGCCTTCCCAGCGTCGTATTGTACCACGCCGCCGAAGGTCTGGTGCGGTTGGCTGACCACCACGTCCCCAAGCCGGATGTCCGCCTCAGCGCTAGGAACTCCTCCTCCAATGCCGACCATCAGCCCAAACCGGATCCCTCTGAACGTCGCCCTCATCCACATCGCCACAGCCGCCGCAGGGTTGTTGCCGATGCGGCTAGCGGGTAGGCACGCAATCACGACGTTGTGTCCTGCAATCGACCCCAAGCAGTAAAGGTTCTCGTCGTTGCCGTCGTGCTCAAGGCCGTCGTGCTCTTCGTCGAGCATCTCCTGCGCCGCCGCCAGCTCAAAGGGCAGGGCGCATATCCATCCTACCGTGTATTCTTCGCGTCGCAGTCGTCGCGACATTCGGAGTCGTTGAAGGCGGGGGGCAGGTGGGGAACGTTATCTTGTGGAAAAGTGTTGTAGAGTGCGTGGAGGGACAGCCTGGCAGCAAGGCGCTGGCAGCGCTGGCAACAACATTTGCTGTGCCGCTCAGCCTCGTTGCGTATGTTGTTACCGGCTGCATGCTTATAGAATCACGTGTTGAAGATTTGCCATTCAAGTCTCATCCGAGGCAAACGAACACCTCGATTACGCTAACAGGGAGGACGGCCGACCCGCTCCTGCCATGACCTTGTCAGCTCAAGCGGTGGTAGAGAAGTACCTTCTTGTACCGTGACAAATCACGTGCCTAGGCTAATAGTGCCTAACTGGATACATAAGGTGGGGTACTAAGGCCCCGATTAGCCACACCGTCACAGCCACAAGCTTGGACGATGCTTATGTCAGACGTGCGGGGTCGTTTTGTCCTAGCTGGATTGGTAATTGCTTCCGACCGGAAGTACCAACCAGGGTGGCGACCTTGCATGAATTTGCGTGCGACAACAGCCACAAGGCTGATGACGAGTTCGCAGTATGGTAGCGAGGTTCTAAGGCTCGGATAAGGCCCTTTCATGAGCATCAGGAGTGATGGGAGCTCGATAATGGTGCTGTGGCGACGGAATTCGGTTACGCCATGAAAGAAGGCTCTCTGCAAATCAGGCGCGAAGGCGACAATGCGAACGTAATTTTTCCGTGGGAGAGGTTCCAAGGGCTTTAGGATGGCCACAGCAAACGACTTATACAAAGTTATGGGAAATATCAATGTGTGCAGAGAGCTTAAGTTGTTTGAAGTCAATGTACCCCTTATATTGTGCGGCACGGTGGGTGTTGCGCCACCAGGGACGGACGTTATCTAACCTAACCCAAGTTTTGTTTGTCTTCCGCTCCTGACATTTCTTTATAGGCATTCCGTGACGATAAAGGAAATCCTACGAACCATCCAGGTCTACGACTTCAACTGTCCGACTTTGCTTGTGAGGAACTTACAAAGGATGAATTCAGTGGCGAAGGACGAGAGATAATTATATCCACTCAGGAGCTTTGTCAGTATCTTGCTGCTGCAGAAGACAAGGTCCAAGGGCAAAGAGTACTTGTCAGGCACTCTATTCTTCCTGGAATGAAGAAGCGCAAAAGGTCTGAAACACCGCCGGAAAAATTGGCTTCCGATGATGAAGCGAAGTATGCTGAGCGAGAGGAGAGAGCAGCGAAGCGCACAGCGGACGATGATCCCGATTATGAAGATAGGCCGTCAACCAAGAGCTTGTTAGAGTAAAACACAAACTTTCGGTACCGCTTGTGATCCAGCTTGACGTATTATGATGGGGCTATACGCCAGACAGGGGATCCCATTTTGGGCCCCACAGTAAATCCCGCTCCAGCACCCGATTTTGCGATCTCACTAATCTGATCTGCGACCTATCCTTGAAAAAGTTACAGGCACCGCCCTTGTTAACGTGTTCTGCGGGCATCCTGTCACCCCATCAAAAATCGCAGAAACGCGACGCGTTACTCAACTACTGCCTCAATGCCTACACCACAACAACGAGAAGACCTCTTTAAAGAGGGCAGAATTGATCTAGCTATTCAAGCGTACAAGCAAGGCCAAATTACAAGTTTCCGAAAAGCAACAAGCACGTACGA